GCTACGTATAGCGATGGATAGATCAGTAAAGATATAAATAGAGAGATGTCGATATAATTTTGTGTGCTCAACTATATTAGTATCGTATCTTTATCGATCCCAGCGTAAAAATGGTCACACATACAAGTTCTGGCTAACATATGAATAAATAAATAAAGATGAAAAATAAATAGATAAATAAATAGATAAATAGCATGTACTAATAAAACTTATACAAGGATATTAATGTCTAAATAAGATTTATAATAAGTTTATCGATAAGAGGATAAGAGGCAGATATTTACTCGTCCGAAAATAGCAACAGTCGATAAACGAACACATGAATAAGTTTCGCAGATGCACGACTCAGCATCTGTGTCTAAATATTATGACTCATTCCACCAAACCAGTCAGGCCGATTTTCGTGACACGTAAATACGACCCGAACATCTGCGCGGGGAACCAGATGCCAGATTTCGACGGCGGGTTAAAAAGGCTTAAAAAAAGGGAAAATGTCTTTTTCAAGGCTTTTTTTATTTCTTCCTAGTTTGCCGGTGAGATGGATTTTTTTTTTCTTTCTCTCTCTCTCAGTGGGAAGATTTTTGCGTAAAGAAGAGACTTAGGAAATGGGATGCTATGTTCTGTTTGTTTTTTTTATTTTTTTTTTATTATTATTTTTTTATTATTATTATTTTTTACATGTTTGTGATTTGTTTCGGATCTGGTACTGAGACGGAGGGGGGGAGGGGTAGATAGATGGATAGGATAAGGAGATGGGACATGGGAGGGAGGGAATAAAAGGAAGGATAAAGGAATGGATAGGATGAAGAGAGGGGATCAGAAAGAGATTGGAAATGTAGTGAGAAAGACGGAGGTTAGAAGGATGGTTAGAGATGAAATAAAAGGGATATGGGAAGCGAGAAGCGCTGTCACAGGAGCTTCTCATGCAAGTACATAGCGTTGCTCTTGACAATAGGATAGCTTTAACAGGCGTGACACCCAGGCTTAGGGGTGGGTAGGGCAGCACGACGTTATTAACACCCTTACAGTTCTTGCTAGTCATCATTAAGGGGGGAGAAGGGAGGGTCGTGGAATGCGATTATCCTGATCCTCGTAGATGATCAGTTGCTGGGTTGTGTCATGCAGGTGAACGTGCTGAAGATCACGGCCTCAGTCGTGTCCTCATGACAGGCGGTGATTCATACGCGGCTCAAATATCCACTGGCTAGCAACAAGAGTCACATTTTCGTTCATGCCTGGATTCATTGGCGTCAAGGTTATGAGAATGTAAACCAGTTATTACACAGCTTATATATATAAAATAGTCCATGCAACAGAACAAAAATAAAAAAATAAAACATGCTGAGTGCATATGCTATGAAAAAAATCACGAACAACGGTTTTCACAAATTGCACATGCAACCAAATACAAAGGAACACCAACAGCTATATTCCAACGAAAAGGCCGGCGATAAGAAACTGCTAAAAGTTTAACAAAATACAAAAACGAAAGTCATTTTGACGCGGGGAGTGCACCAGACGGAAAGGAGGCGGGAGAGGAAGCGTCGAACTCAGAAGAGTTGCGAGTTCCCTCACGTTATTTACTCTCCTTCCTCCAGGCGTAAGTGTGTGAGTAGCTCTTAAGTGGGAAGGATTTTAAAGACGTGCGAGTGGTTCCGTCCCTTTCGTGTCTCTCGGGGAATTTACTCCGGCTCGCCCCTCGCACGTGCGCAGGCGTCGCAGCCAATCTCCCGGGATCTGAAGTCGTTTTCTCCCATCAAGCGTCGATCACTTGGGGTACTTAAGACCAATAAGGAACGAGGAAGTCGTGCTTGCAAGCAACACTTATAGACTCCAGATGCTAACTTGCAGGAATAGGCTCTGACGAGACATTCGATCAGAGGAAATCAGGTCATTGACTTGCATTACTGATAAGGTCAATGCCACTTTCCAGGGCGCGTACCGAAGTGGCTGAGCGGGCGGCTGACCCGAAACGGGCCCGGAAGAGTCCAGTACGGAAAGACCCGCTTCAACCACCTGTTCGATGGCTCGGCCTACCTCCACCAGTTCAACATCGCCTCCGGAAAGGTCACCTACCAGTCAAGGTCAGCCAGAGTGATGAGATTACATATCTGCGTAATCTCTCTGAAAATGCCGCTCTTTCGTATTGTTATCGCTTATCAGTAACTGTTGATATCCTGCAGACTAAAACACGATGACAAAATTATTATTTTTTAAAGATAGACTGGAGTTGAAAGATAATTTAGTTTTTTTTCTATCACTTATCAGTACTTGTTTTTCTGAAGACAAAAACTTTCAGCAAAATGACAATAAACCAAAAAAAAGTTTATACAAGATTTAAAATATTGAGAAGTAACGCGCAACGGATGATATTATAAAAACGGGGGATCCCACACAGCTGAATCAGTACTTGAAGGATTTACTCTTTGAGATCATAAACTGAAATTAATCTCCTTTGCAGTTCTGGATTTAAAATCATGACAGTTTGGCTTTGGGCTCTCCATGTCCACATGTCATCTAAAATTCAATTATTTATCTTATTAACGCCAATATTACTAAGATCTATTTCTCCTTTACATATCAGTAATGCAGCCTTTCTCCATTTCCAGGTACCTCCAGAGCGACACCTACAGGAGGAATACAGAAGCCGATCGAATCGTGGTCTCGGAGTTCGGTACAGTGGCGTATCCGGACCCTTGCAAGACCATACTGCAGAGGTAATTGATCAACAATGTTAATGGGCGCTTAATAATGATAAAGATCGCCATAGCAAATGGCATCGGATTTAATTACTGTTTCGAATCACACGAGAACCATCATTAAGCTCGTACCAGTGTGTTGCTGTCACTTTTCATTAGCCGAAAGGTTATCCCAGCAGGCAATTTCTTACAGACTATCCTTAAAAGAAACGAGAAACTATACCCAACACGCGAATAAAATCCATCGCTTCACATTCATCCACTTGTGTTCTTAAAATCTGAATCACCTTTTTCCCTACAGGTTCATGAGCAAGTTCGAACCACCGGGCAAGAACGCATCCGATAACTGCGTGGTGAGCGTGATGCACCTTGGCGACGAGATGTACGCGCTCACTGAGACTCCTCACTTGCGTCGTGTGGACCCCGCCACGCTGGAGTGTGTGGGAGATAGGGCAAGTTGAGATCTGTATTTACCTGTATACGAAAAGAACTTTGTTTGAGCTGTGTGAAATGTTTACCACCCAATAGTGTTTTTTTAATGCTTTTGGTCAATGGAGTTATTCTGTTCCGAGAAATATCATTATTATTATTATTAATGCTGCATTAATGCTGCAGTTACTATTGCTGCTCCCCCTCCTCCTCCTCTTCTTCCTTCTCCTCCCCCTCCTTTTTCTTCTCCTCCTCTTCTTCCTCCTCCTCTACCTCCTCTTCCTCCTCCTCCTCTTCTTCCTCCTCCTTTTCTTCCTCCTCCTCCTCCTCCTCCTCCTACTACTACTACTACTACTACTACTACTACTACTACTACTACTACAACAACTACTACTGCTACTACTACTGCTACTACTACTACTACTACTACTACTACTACTACTACTACTACTACTACTACTACTACTACTACCACTACCACTACTACTACTACTACTAATACTACTGCTGCTACTACTACTACTACCACTACTACTACTGCTGCTGCTGCTGCTGCTGCTGCTGCTGCTGCTGCTACTACTACTACTACTACTACTACTACTACTACTACTACTACTACCACTACTACTACTACTGCTACCACCACCACCACCACCACTACTACTACTACTACTACTACTACTACTATTACTACTACCACTGCTACTACTACTACTACTACTACTACATCTGATATTACTACTACAATGTATGTATATTTACGACAATTTCCCATATTCAATGACAGACGAAACTGGAAGAATATATCGCCGTGAACCAGGCTACAGCGCACCCGCATGTTGACCCAGACGGGACTGTCTACAACATGGGCAACTCGTTCTCTGGGAAGAAAGGCCCAACATACAACATTATCAAATTCCCTCCGGCGAAGGAGGTTGATGGTATGGAGGCTCAGTGTTGTGCCGTCTCGGTAATCAAGTAATTGAATACTATTGATTACGTGAGGCTTTTAATAGTCTTATACAGCACTATATTGTACAATGATTGGCTTGGCGCAACAGTATTCTACAGTAACGTTGTTAATATATAAGTGTTTGAACCGTAATTGAGACAATGCAATTCATATTTATTAATTCATACATTCACTTATTTCCACAACAGGGGAGGTGATCTCCTCTCTCGAGCAAGCGGAGATCGTGGCCTCCATCCCCTGCCAGTGGAAGATGTATCCCTCTTATTACCACTCCTTCGGCATCTCCGACGAGTACTTCGTTTTCGTGGAGCAGCCTTTCGTGTTCAGTCTGAGGAAGTTCCTCTTCAACCACTTTCTGGGGAAGCCATACTTGGGGGCTATTGAGTGGTATCCCGACCAGAAGGTACCAAAAAGAAGTATAACGTAGGAAAACTTGAAAACAAAACTTGGGGTTGTGGAAGTGAAAATATTTTGTTAGATTTTGGGCGATGGAGCGTTCACACGCGTTCTAAACCATTTGAGACAAACCCTCCTTTTTTGCAGACAAAGTTCCGTGTAGTGAAACGAGAGACTGGAGAAGTTCTGAAGACGTCCTACACTGCAGACGCTTTCCTAACCTTCCATCACACCAATGCCTACGTAAAGGACGGCCAGTTGGTGGTGGACTTGGCGGCCATGGACGACGGCCAGGTAATCCTTTTTGTCATTTGTCTATCACGCGTGGACATTTTTATAGAATGACATGTTTTTAAAGAGAATGCTGGTTATTTAAAAGTGCCCTCCAATCCTACTGTCATTAAGAATATATGTAATTTGTCTTTCGCCTGCAGGTAATTCACCAGGTGATGCTCAACAACCTAGCGGACCCGGAGTTTGAGTCTCCACCAGCAACTATGCCA